AACCTAATCCTGTAGCCATAGATTACGTGACAACACTATGCATTACCAAACTGTCCAAATAATGGGACAATTCAAGAATTAATTGGACCGCAGTCATGCATTACGCATCCATGCACGAAATCCAACTAATCTCGAACGGGAAACTAAGTGTTACTAAACATAAAACTAAAAGCACGAAGATAATTTCAATTAACTTCGTACATTACAACAGATTGTAATACGTTACACACAATATAACAACATAATATAAATATAACTTCACAAGAACATTTTAAACATAACAAATTAACATTACTAATATATAAAACGAATAAAATACCTTCTCAATCGTTCTCCACCAATCGCTAATTACAAATATCCCTAACGAAAACAAATTAAAAAACCTTAGTACGAACTTTAATTAATACTTTTAAACTAATGACGAAAAATACTTACCCAATCAATGTATTGAAATCCCAGCAGCGGCAGAGAAGTTGAGAGAGAGGCAGAGGCAGAATGCTTTGTTTTTGCATTCTGCCTCTGCAATGGCAGAATTCTAATATGAAGAAGAAGAACTTTGCGCGACGAACACATACATTCGTCTCGCGAACTTCCGTCGCAAAAAACCAAATCGTCCGTCGCGCAAACCGTTTTTTCGTCGCGCAAACACCTGCCGACATCTAACTTTTGCGCGACGCTTATACTTTCCGTCGCGCAACCTTTCGTCGCGCAACAATTGTCGCGCAAAAACAAAATTCCGTCGCGCAAAAAACAGTTTTCGTCGCGCAAACGTGGAACTTTACGCGACGAAGAGTACTTACGTCGCGCAAAAAAAAATATCCCAACCTGGTCATTTTGGCGCCAAAAATAAAATATCCCTCCTTCTCTTACGCGACGAAACATCTTCCCGTCGCGCTAAATAAGTGGACCCACTGGGTACTGTCATTTTTGCGCGACGAAGAAATTTTCCGTCGCGCAATGTTGGCTTTAGCGACAATGTTTCTCGTCGCGCAAATGTTTCGCGCCAAAAAAATTTCCCCCCGCTTTTTTTACTCTGTTTGCGCGACGAAAAACTGTTTTGTCGCGCATATACATTTTGTGCGACGAAAAGTTTTGGTGGCGCAAATTTTCAGTGGATTGCGCGACGAATAGTTTCTTTCGTCGCACAAGTATCGTTTGCGCGACGAATTAGTCTTCGTCGCGCAATCTTTCGTCGCGCAAATGGTGAAACGTAGTAGTGCCATGAGGTCCACGAAGGGGTCGCTGGGTTTGGGTTCGGTACATTGGGGCTGTGCTGGGTTGGGTCTGAGTTCTGGAGGACCAAGAAGAAGGGTTGCAATTGCAGGAGGCAGTCCTCTTGTGAGTTTTGAAAAGGCCGCTTGGGTTTGTGTTTCTCTGATAACTGAGGGGATTCGCATCGTTTCACTATCACTTTCATCGAAGGGATTAACTTGTGATTTATTGGAGCAGCTTACTTGGCGTCCAAGATATATATTGACTTGTGCTTTCCCGAGTCGACTTAACAGCCAATAATATCCTTTAGGATATGCACGCACCGAATTAAATTTTCAATTATGGTTAACAATTTTGGCCGAGATAGGGATTTTATCAAGATCTTGGACCATCTGAAAAAATATTTCAAGAGCCAATACTATTAAGGAAAATGTCACTAAAGTTCAAGAGACGGGATTCGAAATGAAAATATGAAATGTACTGCTCTAGGGTTGTCATCCTTGTTTTTATAGAACATGAAAGCTCATAATTTATGTTTGTTCTTCTCAGTGAGAATGCTAAGTAACACCAAAATGGAAAAGTAATGAAAATTAACTTGAAAGGCTAGCTGCTGCTGCTGGGTTTAGTAAGCTTTTGGTGGGGACGACGACTCTGATCTCTGGAGGACCAAGAAGAAGAGTTGGAGTTGGCGGAGGAGAGGCTCTTGCGAGTTGAGAAATGGCGGCTTGGGTTTGTTTTGCTCTGATAACTGACAAGATTCCCATCTTCAGTTTCACTTTGACTTTAATCAAAGGGAAAACGTATATTATATACCCTAAAACCGATTATTTTCGGATATCAATTTGAGATCAATTTTGGGATCGCTTTACTTGCGCTCCAAGATATATATATATATATTATGAGTAATGCTATTTAGACACACAAGATTTACCACATTAGCTGACCACCTTATGTGGCAGCTGATATGGTTATGCCATGTCAATTAATGAATACTGCCATGTAGATTTTTTTTTATTTGCTTTTTTTTAAAAATAATCCTTAAAAACAACAAAATTATAATTAATTATTAATTAACCCTAGCATCTGTACGTTGTAGCAAGCTGCAGCTTCGTTCTCTACTCAACACTTCCTTCCTCCATCAAATCTACCCTTACCCAGTAACACAGCCAAGCTGCGCGAGAAACCCGACAAATCACATCAATCCATCTTGGAAGAATATTCATGAAGAACATTCACATTTAAAATAAAAATAGTTCATATTTTGGGAATTGTTCGACTTCGATTGTTCACCAGACTTCCCATTTGATTGGAAAGCTAATACTCCATTCCTAACAACATACTCAAGCTTTAAAATTCTTTTTAATTCTTATATACATGACCAGAGAATATGAGATCTCAAAATCAATTCGGATTCTCTAGATAGCTAGTGAAATAGGCATTAAGATTTTTGAGTTGGATTTTCTTGATTAGTTGATTTGCAGAGTTGGGTTTGTTGAATCAAAAAATTGGTTTTCTTTTTGGAGAGAGATTGCAGGAGGATGAGCAAAGGCCAAAGGGGAAGGAGAAGGCAGCCAAAGGGATACAACGAAGAAGAAGAAAAGTTGGAAAATATAAATTACGCAATTTAAAAAGGAAAAAAATAAAAAACACAGTTGGCCACATTTAAGTGACGTGGCATATACACATCAGCTGCTATATAAGGTGGTCAGCTAATGTGGTCAATCTTGTGTGTCCAAATAGCATTACTCATATTTTATTTAGTATTATACAGGTACCAAAGTTCAAGAGACAAACTTTAAAGCGAAATATATAAGAATAATTTTATTATTGTATGATATTCTTTAAACTTTGTAGCATTATCGTTTTGTATTTCAGTATCACAAGGAAATATTCAAATTCAAAAAAATTATTTATTTTACATAATTTGAAGTCAAATCAACTTATTTATCTTTTGAAAATTAGCAAAAACCAACGTTAGAGTTGCAAATTATTAATTTACATAATTGTGGCCTTTTCTTTTGGCAAACCATCAAGTTAACCGCTATTTGTTTATTTAGCACAAAACGGTCTTCCTTCTTTCGCTTACATGGATTAACGAATATCCATATAAGCAAAATAATAGGTCAACTGAGCCCTCCTTAACTATAGGGTTTAACGAATGAATAGGCAAATGACGTAACAATTTGTAACATTAAATTTAAATGTGATATTTGCCCATTTTTGAAAGATACCAGCCAAAGCTATTACAAGTTCCAAAGCTTCGTGTTATGTGTGTGAGTTTAGTGTGTTATTGCCCCTAACAATAGGAGAGGTCCTCGAAAAAAAAAAATCTTATTTGGGCTTAAAATGATCAGTACGAAAAATGAGTGAATATAAATTTGAAGTCAAGTTCGACAACGTTACAAATCAAGCAATACCGCGACTGATACATACATATATATATATATATATATAATTTTAAAAAAAAAGTAAACTTCACTTGCAGGTCGTCTGAGAAACTAATTAAAAACCAGAAAAACTCACGAACTGAAATAAATCAAATTACACTCTTGATTGATCGTAGAATGAAGAACAAAAGAACCAACATGGGAAGCGGGAAGTGTCTAACGAGACATGCCTGGCTTGATGTATGGAGGTGCAGCGTTTCCAGCTTGACCTTGGTTCATTCTCTGCGCACTGGCGATCCAACCTGCATTAAATTTTCATATTAATTA